CACAAGACTCCCATGACCGCTGGGCATCAGAGTGGCATGCAAGCCCATGTCAACCCTACGACAACTGCTCACCCGAACCAAGGACCCACTCCCCGCCGTGGACAGGACCAATGTCATCTACAAGATCCCCTGCAGAGACTGCAAGAAACACTACATTGGACAAACAGGAAGGAAACTAACAACAAGGGTACACGAACACCACCTGGCTACAAAAAGGCACGACCAATACTCACTCATCTCAATCGACATGGACAAGGAGAACCACCACTTCGACTGGTACAACACCAAGATCCTGGACAGGCTAAGCAGAGACAGGCACGAGAATTCCTAGAAGCATGGCACTCCACGAAGCATGCTATTAATAAACACGTTGAACTCGACCCCATATTCATTCCACTACGAAGGAAAACCGGAAGTGAGGCAATCCAGCTCAACGGACCCCAGAGTTTAAAAACCAGGCAGGAAAACACACTGACGCTTCATCGGAGGCTGCACTGAGGATGTTACCAAGCATGGTAACGAAACGTCTGTGAAACAAGAAACCAGCTCGGCGAGCCAACCAACCTCAACACCCACAACCCGAGCTACAAATCTACTCCAAGACCAACACTTACTTTATTAAATTTTCTTTTTAAACTTCCTGAAGAAACATTTCCTGTCTGTTTTTGGCTGACTTCCTCTCGTACTGTAATTTTTCCTTCCTTTTAATCTGTTTGTAATTTTTTTTGGTGGTATTTTATATTTTGTGCAACCTCTGACTTGCCACCCTGTCTTTAAATGACAATAAGTCTTTTCTTTGAGTTTGCTACTGTCTTTGACATTTTTAGTTAATCATGGCGGATATATCTTAGAATTTTTCTTATTTGTTGCAATGTCTCTATTCTGTCCTTTCTGGAATACGCCTTAAATATTTGAATATAGGAGTCCTTTGAGTATAGGAATTGGGAAGTGATGTTGAGGTTGTACAGGACATTGGTGAGGCCTCTTCTGGAATAGTGTGTCCAGTTCTGGTCGCCCAGTTATAAGAAGGATATTATTAAACTGTAGAGTGTTCAGAAGAGGTTTACTGGGTATGGAAGGGTTGAGTTATAAAGAGAGGCTGGATAGACTGGGACTTTATTCACTGGAGTGTAGGAGGTTGAGCAGCAATCTTATAAAAGTTTATAAAATAATGAGGGGTATGTATAGAGTTAATGGTAGTTGTCTTTTCCCTCAGATGGGGAATTTCACAACTAAGAGACACATTTTTAAGGTGAGAGAAGAGGGGTTTAAAAAAGACACGAGGAACAAATTTTTTACACAGAGGGTGGTTTGTGTGCAGAATAAACTTCCTGAGGAAGTGGTGGATGTGGGTACAATTGCAATGTTTAAAAGACATTTAGATAAGTTAATAAATAAGAAAGAATAGGAGGGATATGGGCCAACAGCAGGCTGGTGGGACTAGTTTAGTTTGGGATTATGTTCGGTATGAACTGGTTAGATCGAAGGGTCTGTTTCCATGCTGTATGACTCTATGACTCTAAAACTATTTGTTGCTGCATCTCAACTGACCTATCCCTTAACCTAAATTGCCAACTCACTTTTGCTAGCTCCACTTTCATGGCCTCATAATTGCTCTTGTTTAAATTTGTATGAGAGTCTTGGACCCACTCTCCCCTGTAGTGTGTGTAAAATTCAATTGTATTATGATTGCTGCTACCCAGAGGCACTGTCACAATGAGGTTTGTAATTAACCCTATCTCACTGGCCAAAATCAGATCTAGTGTAGCCTTCTCTCTGGTGCCATGACACAAGAAATTGTCCTGAAAATTAATCCAATTTTGCTTATCCAAGGTTCTGTTATAATGAATTTAATAATAACTTCTAACATTTTCACTATGACAGATGTTAAGCTAACTGGCATGCAGTTTCCTGCTTCCTGTCTCCCTCCCTTTTTGAATTAAGGAGTTACATTAGCTATTTTCCAATCTAAAGGAACCTTCCCCAAATTTAATTCAATTAATTTCTCATCTGGGCTATTCTTTCCCATTTGAAGAAGGCTGCTCACTCGCATCTTCTCATGGGAAGATGGATAAGAAATGGTGACTGTTCCAGTGATGTTGACATCCTTTAGGTCACATGCATCTTTATCTCTCTCCCCAGCTCTTCTGATCCACTTGCACTTTGTACGCATAAACATATGAATTGCAAACGGCAGTAGGCCTTTCAGCTGCTCAACCAGTTGACAACATCATAGCTGATCTGATTGCGGCTTCAATTTCATTTTTTTCCAACTCCTGATAACCTTTAGTTCTTCAGGAATAAGGGAACCAATCTACTGTTATCTTAAAATAATCACTTACCCTGCCTCCGCTGCTCTCTGGGGAAGTGGGTCCCAAAGAATCATGACTTATTGAGAGAAAAAAATTCCTCTATCCATCCTAAATGGATATTTTTAAACTGTGTTCCCACCAGTTCTAATCCCTTTCATAAGGGGAAGCATCCTTTTGAAATGGACCACATATTTTTATCTACTTTCTTACTTCTCTTTGTATCATCAGCAAATTTATTAACCATGCATTCAGTCCCTGCATCCAAGATATTTATCTCGGTTGCAAATAATGGAGGTCCCCACACTGATACCAGTGGCACACAACTTTTCAGATCTTGCCAACCCGAAAATGATGGATTTATGCCCACCCGATGCTTACTAATCTTCTATCCTTCTATCCTTGCTAATTTGTTACCACCTATAGCATGATCTCTTATTTTGCATAGTAACATTTGAAGTGGCAGTATGTCAAATGCCTCCTAAATACTGCATATCCGCAAGTTCCCCTTTTACCTATTTCGCTTGTTACATTAGTCAAACACAATTTCCCTTTCACAAAATCATATTGACTCTATCTGGTTGTTTTAAGATTTTCTAGTTGCTCTGCTTTAACTTTCTTAATAATAGATTCCAGTATCTTCCTTGTGATCGATGTTAGATTAACTGGCCTGTAGTTTCTTGTGTCCTAACTCTTTCCTTTCTCGATTAGAGGAATCACATTCCCAGTTTTCCAACCTGATGTTACCTACACCAAAACGGCTGCAGTAATTCAAGATGCATCTCACAGCATCTTCTCAAGGGCAACTAGGGATGGGCAACAATTGCTTCTCTAGCCAATGACACCCACGTCCCATAAATGAATAAAATAAAAAGGACCAAGAGACTTGTTGGAATTAAGTCTTATTAATTTTCTCAGCACCATTTTCCTAGTAATTGTTCAAGTTCATCACTCTCTTTGATATTCTGATTCACAGTTATTTCTGGGATGTTATTTGTATGCACTACAGTGAAGGTCGAGACAAATGTTGTTCATCTGCCATTTCTGTATTTTCTATTATTCATTCCCCAAGGAGAGTGAAAACAGTAGAGATCCATACTAAGTATTTTTATACTTCTAGCTATCTTTCTCTTGCACTATAATTTCCCTTTCCTTATTAACCTTTTAGTCATCCTTTGCTGTTCTTGATATTCCTTCATATCTTATAACCCATCATTCATCTTTGTGGAACTAAATGCTTTTTCTTTCAGTTTGATACTATCTTTAACCTTGTTAGTTAGCCCTGGATGATGTGTCCTTCCCTTAGGATCTTTCTTTAACACTGGAATGTATATTTCTTGAGTATTCTGATATATCTCCTTAAATGTTTGCCACTGTATTTCGACTGACTTATTCCTTAACCTAGTTTACTAATGCATGTTAGTCAGCTCTTTCTTCACGCCTGCATGTCTGCCCTTCTTTCAGAGTTTGGATCGACTCTTCTGTCCGTCAAACTGAATCTGAAATGTGATCATATATTGATCAGTGCTACCTTGGGTGCTTTTATGATGAAAGGAAGTTTGTAGGTGCCTTTGTTCCAACTTCCACAAAGTTGTTGAGCTCAAAAACTCGACAGCACAATTTCACCTCTGTTTGTGCCATTGGCTGCATTGGCCACCAACATCTTAATTTAAAACCTACATACACAATGATCTTGTCCCTCCCATTTCTAACTTCCTACAACCCTATAAACCTCTAAGTAATCTACTTACTTTCTACTGTAGTTTTATGCACTTCTGACTTCCTTTGCCTTACAATTATTTGTCATACTTTTAGCTGTGTGGGCCCTAAACTGTGGCTAAGCCTTCCTAAGAGTCTTCCCCTCTCTTCTCCCCTAAAAAGCTTTTGAAAACTCTTTCACCAGACTTCTGGTCTCCTGCAGTGTTATCATTTTGTCTTCAATGTTGACCTATACTTCTGTGATGCTCCTTGCTATTGTGATATAAATTCAAGCGGTTGTCCGTAAAACAGAAAAATAATGGATCCCTAGAGGTCAAATCCCAGTATCTTTAGAATAATTCCCATGGAGGGAGCTTTCATCTAACTCCTGGCTGTTCTAAAGCTTTAGATCCCACCGCTGCCAGACTGCTATTTTCTTGGGCGGCACAGTGACTCAGTGCTTAGCACTGCTGCCTCACAGCGCCAGGGACCCAGGTTTGATTCCACCCTCGGCAACTGTCTGTGTGGAGTTTGCATGTTCTCCCCGTGTCTGCGTGGGTTTCCTCCAGGTGCTCCAGTTTCCTCCCACAGTCCAAAGGTGTGCAGGCTAGGTGGATTGGCCATGCTAAATTGCCCATAGTGTTCAGGGATGTGTTGATTAGGGGATGGGTCTGGGTTGGATGCTCTGAGGGTCGTTGTGGACTTGTTGGGCTGAAGGGCCTGTTTCCACACTGTAGGGATTCTATGGTGATGAGATCTCTCATTCAGTTAGGTGATTTTGAAAGACTTTATTAATCAAAAGTGTTAAAGTTTACGAAATGGCTCGAAATACAGATCAGCCATGATATACATGGTTGATAGACAAGGATTTAGCTGCTGCCCAGCCTCCAGCTGTTGTTGTGTTCCTCTAGTTGGTGGAAGACTGGAGTGAGAAGTTAAAGTTTAATGTCTACAACTGAAGACTTCTTCACACTCGTGTTTTGTTTTCTGCAGTTACGCGAGCAGACCTGACGATAATTATGAAGATCCAAATGATGTGGCAGCGATTAAAGAAGCTCAGGAGAATATGGGGGATTTCAAGTTAAAGACTGCTCCTGACTACACCGTGCCAGAACACTTGCGTATTAATGCAGAAAAGAAAAGGAACCAGCTCGTTCGCCTCGAGGAGTCGGTATGTACTTGTATGGGATTTATTGTTTATCATGCATGTTCTCTTCTTCCACAGGGGTTTGTAAATTACGTTGAATTGAATGTACTTCTAAGTGAGAACTTATAGGGTAGTTCATTTTCCCAGCAGGATGAAAAGCGGCTGAACATCCTGGTTTGATGAATTATTCAATTGCACATGCATCCAGAACTGTAGAGAGATCATACAACAGAAGGAATTTTTCCTGAATGCAGAGGCACACATGAACTGCAGATCATTTGGCTCAACCAATGTCTCATCCCTCACACCCCGTCCACGCAATAAGAACCAAAAAAGAATCCCCCTCGTCCTCACGTACCACCCCACCAACCTCTGGATCCAACGCATCATCCTCCGACACTTCCACCATCTGCAATCCGACCCCACCACCAAAGACATCTTTCCCTCCCCACCCTTATCTGCTTTCCGGAGGGACAACTCTCTCCGTGACTCCCTTGTCCGCTCCACACTCCCCTCCAGATCCACCACACCCGGCACTTTTCCCTGCAACCGCAGGAAGTGCTACACCTGCCCCCATACCTCCTCCCTCACCCCCATCCCAGGCCCCAAGAAGACTTTCCACATCAAGCAGATGTTCACCTGCACATCTGCCAATGTGGTATACTGCATCCGCTGTACCCGGTGTGGCTACCTCTACATCGGGGAAACCAAGCGGAGACTCGGGGACCGCTTTGCAGAACACCTACGCTCGGTTCGCAACAAACAACTGCACCTCCCAGTCGCGAACCATTTCAACTCCCCCTCCCATTCCTCAGACGACATGTCCATCCTGGGCCTCCTGCAGTGCCACAACGATGCCACCCGAAGGTTGCAGGAACAGCAACTCATATTCCGCTTGGGAACCCTGCAGCCCAATGGTATCAATGTGGATTTCACAAGTTTCAAAATCTCCCCTCCCCCTACCGCATCCCAAAACCAGTCCAGCTCGTCCCTGCCTCCCTAACCTGTTCTTCCTCCCACCTATCCCCTCCTCCCACCTCAAGCCGCACCTCCATCTCCTACCGACCAACCTCATCCCGCCCCCTTGACCTGTCCGTCCTCCCTGGACTGACCTATCCCCTTCCTAACTCCCTACCTACACTCACTTTTACTGGCTCCATCCCCGCCTCTTCGACCTGTTTGTTTCCTCTCCACCTATCCTCTCCTCTATCCCTCTTCTATCCGCCTCCCACTCTCTCCCTATTTATTTCAAAACCCCCTTCCCCTCCCCCTTTTCTGATGAAGGGTCTCGGCCCGAAACGTCAGCCTCTCTGCTCCTATGATGCTGCTTGGCCTGCTGTGTTCATCCAGCCCTGCACCTTGTTGTCTCAGTCCTACACTCTATGTTAGTAAACAGTTCCAATCACACTAACACACCCTGTTCGCCAAACTATAATTTTGTTGTTATGAATATCTTTACTCTGATCTGAGAGTTCCTGCCTCAAAAAATGGGTTGCAGTTTTGGCAGTCCTCTCCACAATTTTTCAGGTGTGAAAAACACCCCAATTTACACTATAAATAACCCTTTTCATCTTTGAGCCCCGACATAGTCCTTGTTGGTACCAGCCTCTCTGCAGCCTCTTATGTAATGGAATATTGCATCTAAGTACAAAACTCAAAAAGTATTGAAAGGAAACGAAGGGGAGGATCATCAAGCTTATCAACTCTCTATCTCACATCAAAAATTGTAATCTCAAACTCTGTCCAAGCATCTCCCCCTCCCTTCCATAGTCATGTCACCTCCTGAGAGGCAAAATTCGTAGGAACAAATTTATGGTCAGTTCAAGAAAGCGAAGGGATTTCTCTTGGGCAAAAGCATGGCCCAGGCAATGTGGTTGCCCATTAGTCATTGTCCGTCTCAGCTGAGTGACAACTTAACACTCAATACAAGGATCTGTTGCGCTTTCTGTAAAAGGACTGTAGCACTTTCATATTCAATGCATTTCATAAATGTCAAAAGGAGAAGATGGTTCAATGAGAAAATATATACTGCTTTGTGCTTTGACTGAAGTGGCTAAAGACATCTTTTCTGCACAAAACAATGTGCTGAGAAATGTGTACAGAGCTATTTATATGATATAATATAGCCTTTAAGCGTAATAATTGTATATTTCATATCTCTTTTACTCTGTATTTTAAATAAGTAGTACCAGTTTTTAGTCAGGCCTTAGCACCAGCTTTAAAATATGGGTGTCCCTTAAATGTCATCACTGACTGGATTTAATTATATCATCTGGCATATTTCTGAAATCAGACTGGGAGATGCATGCCTGTAACCTGTGACTTGCAATGGACAGGAGCTGAGACGGCAGGACTAACAAACAAAGAGGCACTGGATCAGCTAGGACTATATTCACTGAGGGTGAAGAATGAGAGAAATCTCATAGAATGTTATAGGTTTCTAACAGGACTAGACAGGCCAATGACTGGGAATCCAGGGTACACAGGTTGATGATTTGGATAGGCCGTTTGGGATGGAGATGAGAAATTTCTCCACCCAGAGAGTGGTGAGCCTTTGAAAATTCTCTGCCTCAAGAAGTGTTTGAGGCCAAAACATTGAATGTTTTCAAAAGGGAGTTAAATCTAGTTCTTAGGGCCAAAGGGATCAAAAGATATGGGGGGAAGCAGAAACAGGGTACTGAGATGGATGATCAGCCATGATCATATTGAATGGCGGAATAGACTCACAGGGCCAAACATTCCTGCTCCTATTTTCTATGTTTCTATGATGTGTTTAATGACTCGTACAACATCCCAGCTTTTGGGGTCGTCCTACGGTTGGATAATTACACTATACACATAAACCCAGTTATCAGAATATTCTTTTGCATCCTACGACCTAATAAGATATTTTAAATAATCTCTTATAGATTCATGAACTCAAAGTTGCAATGAGCGAGAAGGTGGTCTATCTTCGTGACACAAAAGTCAATATTATTAAACAAATCACCAGCTTTACTGAGGAGTTGAGGTTGATACAGACCAAACTTGATCCTTCACAACATCTTCCCATTCCCGCTGTCCCAAGTCTGTACCCTGATGAAATGCCTGAGAAGAAGTTCCAATATGACCAGGAAAAACTACTCGAATTCAGGGAAAGAAACAGTTCCAGCACGAAACACAGGAAGATATCTGAACAGCTTGGTGAAGAAACAAAATTATCTGAAACTTCGAATACATCAGAAACCAGCACAAGCCAACAACTAGAACAAAACATTGCCTCAACCATTGGCAGTTTTGCAATCGAACCATCACCACTAGAGGCTGAAATCAAAATCATTGAAGACAAAACCAATCTCTATTTGCAAACTGCAGTGCTGCAGAAGGTACATTGTAGATGGTAATGGTGACATGAGAATGTTAACCTGAGTATAATCATGCATTGAGTTTTAGTTGACCCAAGTAAATTTGACTCCTTTATAAAGCAGGTGGTTTTACAGAAAGACTGAAACAACATCTGCTGATGTTTATGATGCAGAACAAAGTCTGACTGATCTGTGCTGAATATTCTTAACCTCATGCTAACACTGGCATTAGTATGATATTACACATTAGTGATATGGAGATGTAGCACTCCCAGCTTGGACCTAAAGGTGTGACATGTCGCTAATAATCAAAAACTGATCATACAATATGTTGTATCACAGGTGGCTGAGGGAGGGGAGTGAGGAAATTACAAGGGCTCTGAACCAAATTTTTAATTTCCCTATGGCCATAGGGGAGGTGCCAGAAGAATGGAGGACAGTGAATGTAGTACCACTTTCCAAGAAGGGTGGGAGGGATAAAACAGGAAATGACCGATCAGTGAGTCTCTTGTGTCTATCAGGGAAACAGTAGGTGAAAATTCTGAAGGAGAGAATTCATTTCCACTTGGACAGGCAAGGTTTGATCGGGGGTAGTCAGCATGACTTTATCAGAGGGAGGTTATGCCTAAAAAATTGGTGGAATTTTTTGAGGAAGTAACCAAATGTATTGATGAGAGTTGTGCAAATAATGTAGAATAGATTTCAACAAAGCCGTTGATAAGCCCTCACATAGGCAACTGATAAAGAAAATAAAGGCACACGTGATCTTTGGTAACGTGACAAGATGGATTCAAAATTGGCTTAATCATAGGTGGTGATCGAAAGCTGTTTGTGTGACTGGAGCCCGGTGTGTAGTGGCGTACTACAGAAATCGGTGCTGGGTCCCTATTGTTGTGATATATATAAATAATGTAGATGAGAGTGTAGGGTTGAATGACAAGTTTGTGGATGATATGAAGATTGTCCAAGTGGTTAACAGTGAGGAACAAGTTCTTAAGTTACAGGAAGATATAGGGTTCGCCAAATGAGTAGCTCAGTGGCATATAGAATTTAACCCTGATAAGTTTGAGATGATACACTTTAGAAGAAGTAACATGATAGGGGCCTACTCAATGAATGGCAGGACACTAGGAAACTCAGAGGAACAAAAGGATCTTGAGGTATTGCCCACAGATCTCTGAAGACAGCAGGGTAGTTTAATAGAGTAGTTAAAAAAGCATACAGTGGCTGAGTGGTTAGTACTGTTGCCTCACAGCGCAAGGGACCCAGGTTTGATTCTACCTTCGGGTGACTGTCTGTTTGGAGTTTGCATATTCTCCCCATGTCTGCGTGGGTTTCCTCCCCAAGTCTGAAGATGAGTAGGTTAGGTGAATTGGCTATGCTAAATTGCCCATAGTGTCCAGGGATTTGCAGGCTAGGTGGATTAGTCATGGATAGGGGAAGGGGATGAGTCTGGTGGGATGCTCTTTGGACGATCAGTGTGAATTTGATGGGCTGAATGGCCTGCTTCCAAACTGTAGGGATTTTATGATTCATACTAGAATTTGCATTCAGCATTCAGGGGTGGCACGGTAGTTCAGTGGTTAGCACTGCTGCCTCACAGTGCCAGGGATCTGGGTTCGATTCTACCCTCAGGCGAATGTCTGTGTGGAGTTTGCACGTTCTCCCCGTGTCTGCATGGGTATCCTCCGGGTGCTTCAGTTTCCTCCCACAGTCCAAAGATGTGCAGGCTAGGTGAATTGGCCATGCTAAATTGCCCGTAGCGTTCAGGGATGTGTAGATCAGGTGGGTTATAGGGAGTTGGGTCTGGGTGGGATGCTCTGAGGGTCAGTGTGGACTTGTTGGGCTGAATGGCCTGTTTCCACACTGTAGGAATTCTATGATTCTCATTTATCTGTCGAGGCATAGATTATACGAATAGGGAGGTTGTGTTAGAGCTGTACAGAAGTTTGGTTAGGCCATAACTGGAGCATTGTGTGTAGTTTTAGTCGGCACACTATAGGAATGATGTGATTGCACTGGCAGGGGTACACAGGTGATTCACCAGGATGTTGCCTGGGTTGGAACAATTTAGCTGGGTTGGAACAATTTCCAAAAGAGGCTGGATAGGCTTGCATTGTTTGCTTTAGGGCAACCTGATAAGGTCTTTAAATTACGGGGGTGCATAATCACCAGGGTGGACAATAGCAGTTGTTCCCCTTAGTTGAAAGGGCAATAGCGAGGGAACATAATTTTAAGGTGAAGGGCAGGAGACTTAGAAGGAATTTGAGGAAAAATATTTTCACACAGAGGATTATGCAAATTTGGAATGCACTGCCTGGAAGGGTAGGAGAGATGGGAAACCTCACAAGCATTCAAAAATACATGGATAAGCACTCGAAATGTGAAAACGTTCAAGGCTGTGGGTCATGTGGTAGAATGTGGGATTAGTGTAGATTTGTCAGTGCAGACTTGATGGGCCAAAGGACGTCTTCAGTGCTGTATGATTCTATGACTAAATTCAGTCCTAGCTGGATTTCACTGTCTCACAGCAAAGTTCCTACTGGTTTCACTGCCCCAGAATACAATTCTCGCAGGTTTTCACAGTCCTGTTGCACAGTCTTGGATGGTTTCACTGTCCCACTGCACAGCCTCGGCTGGTTTTTACTGCTCCAGAGTACAATTCCCGCTAGTTTTCACTGTCCTGCTGCACAGTCTCAGCTATTTTCCATTAGCCTTCTTGATTATCTGCTGCACTGTGCTAGTTTTCTGTATTTTGTGCACAAATAACAGAAAGTGCCTTTTGTGTTGCAGCTTTCTGCAGTTTCTGTCCATTTAAATAATATTCTGTTCTTTTGTTCTCCCTTCCAAAATTAACAGCTTTGCACTTGCCCTCATTATATTCCATTTGCCAACTCTGTAACCTGTTTGTATCCCTCTTGCAATCAGCTTTTCCAGCTATTTTTGTGTTCTTATTAATTTTTCTAATACCGTTTCTGTTGTAACGGTAATAGCATTTAATTCCTGCTCTGATTCTTTAGTGAGATGTTCAAAATCAAATCATTATTTCCATTGCAGATTGATTGGTCATTGCTATTTGGGCTGCCTACAAACTAACAGTGACCACATATCAGAATTGATTAATTGTCTGTAAATCATTTGAGGATGCTCTGAAGCAACTGGACAAAACACCATACAAAAGCAAGTTATTTGTTTTTTCCTCTTGTCTGTAAAACTAGTGCTTCTTTCCAATCAGAATCATCATCATCATCAATTCCCATTTCTTCCTCTGACTTTCAACTACTTAGGAGCTTTAACCTGAGAATAACCTGAGAATATCTGGCACATAACCAGCTAAGACAAACATTACCAGGTCTGGCTTGACTCTATCAAACCTCTCCCCACCACCCAGAATTGTACATCATGTTGATATCATCCTAAAGGGTAGTTGAACTCACGCTTCTTTCCCCCATTTTCTTTAGGTTCAGTTTCCAGCCCCTGCATCCTTATTTTCAACAGTAAGGAGGAGCTTGTGGATGATAATTTAGAAACCATTTGCCTAGCAACTTTTGGTGAATTCTTCTCACTTCTTTTCCTGTTGATCAGACCTCTCCAAGTTCATCTCTAATTCCAGCCCTGAACTCCATGATTGCACCCTTACATCTTTCCACCCTGTTTAAGCTCATCTTCTGCATGGGTCTCCTCCTTGTTCCTTTGATCCCATTCTCTTTAAACTCTGACCATACAACTTTGCCTGCGTGTTATCGCAAATGATTCTCCACTTCACCCTTTGAAAACTGTCATAATCACCCACAGTCTCAAAATTCCACCCTCCTTTCCTCACTAACTATTTTTCCATCTCCCATCTTCTGGGACCAACATATCCTGTTCTGAATTGGGTTGGATCTGCGGTGGGACAACAAAGACAATAGTCACCAAGCAGTGCAATCAGACTTCCCACCGTTGTTTCTACATGCTGTGTACCTGTTTCTCCTGAAAGGACAAGAAGGAGACGGTGGATCAGACTATACTTGTGGAGAGAGATTTAACTTTTTGTGCAACTGATATTTAACTGGACAGTTTCATTTTCTTTTTAAAAAAAAGCCTGTACTGTGTTCCAGCTCCAATTTAGATTATTGTACCTCCACTTTTCACTATTTGTGTTCATGCTCACTTCCTCTCAACAATAAAAAAAACGTTCAGTATCAGAAGGAGAATGTGGAACAGGATGTGTCAGGATGGAGTTGAATCTAGGCGGGAATCAAACTGCTCCACTGACAAGACTAAGTCTGTCCTTGCCCAAGAAAGGTTTATTGGTAGAGGGATTGAGTTTCGGAGCCATGAGGTCATGTTGCAGCTGTACAAAGCTCTGGTGCGGCTGCACTTGGAGTATTGCGTACAGTTCTGGTCACCGCATTATAGGAAGGATGTGGAAGCATTGGAAAGGGTGCAGAGGAGATTTACCAGGATGTTGCCTGGTATGGAGGGAAGGTCTTATGAGGAAAGGCTGAGGGTTTTGAGGCTGTTTTCGTTAGAGAGAAGAAGGTTAAGAGGTGACTTGATAGAGACATACAAGATGATCAGAGGATTAGATAGGGTGGACAGTGGGAGCCTTTTTCCTCGGATGGTGATGGCTAGCACGAGGGGACATAGCTTTAAATTGAGGGGTGATAGACATAGGACAGATGTCAGAGGTAGGTTCTTTACTCAGAGAGTAGTAAGGGCGTGGAATGCCCTGCCTGCAAAAATAGTAGACTCGCCCACTTTAAGGGCATTTAAATGGTCATTGGATAAACATATGGATGATAATGGAATAGTTTAGGTTAGATGGGCTTCAGATTGGTTTCACAGGTCGGCACAACATCGAGGGCCGAAGGGCCTGTACTGCGCTGTAATGTTCTATGTTCTATGTTCTAGAAAATTGAATGTATCAGAAAGAGTCACAGAGACTCTGAGTACAGTTAGCAAACAACAACTCCGTTCTGAATTAAACTTAATCATTTGAAAATAAGGAAAATTATTTTCTGAAAAGGAAATGAATCTCTAGAGTCGCTGGAATTCATGAATAGCAAATGGACAATTTCCTCGAGCTCACAGGTTTAACCTTTAATAAATTTCTCTCTCCAGATCGATGATTTGATAAAGAACTTTGATGCAGAGGTTCGGGTTGTTTCCCACCAGAAGTGCAAGCTGGACATCTCCATGAAAATGGCTGATCTCCGGCAAGTTACACTTTTTGAAGAGGTTCTTCTGTTGAAAGAGTTTGAAAAGAGTGAAGACATTTTGCAGGAACGTGTCAATCAACGCATTACTGAGCGTCTCGAAACACAAGTGAGCAATGAGTTGTTTTTCATTGGTAAATAGGAATGTTGTTGAAAATGATCTGTCGTAATATTTTCATTTTTTTTCAAAACTTCTTTAAAATTTTTTTCATTTTATGTCTACAACTAAAAGGTGGTGAGTGCAATATTTCTATAGAATTTATGCTGCACTCATTTACAGGAATGTTTCATGAACGGAACATTCTGGAAGATAATTATTCATCCCCTACTGCCTACGCTAGTTTTCAGAAAGACAGTCTTAGCCATATTTAGTGTCTTCTTCCTGTTTATTCCACTGATGTTGTGCTGTCTCTTTCAAAAAAACACAATTCATTCTGTACCATTTTCTTGCCCATTCATACATATCATTATTGTTTCAATTATAAAGAAAGCAGTTACCAGACGCAATAAGCATCTTATTTGTGTAAAGAGGTGGAGAGAAGTGAAGGGAGTAAAATTAAGCAGATAATAGGACATAATGTCGATCAGAATTCATTAGCAATACCTCTCTAAACCTGCCACTAGAAAATATAAGCTATGTACATATGAATTAGAAGCTGGAGCATTTGGTCTGATGGGCCCACTCCAGCATTCAATAAGTTCATGGTTAATATGAATACATAACATTCCCACTAACCCCAATTATCTTTTACCCACTTGCTTATCAATAATCCATCTTTGCCTTAAAAATGTTCAAATCTTTGAGGAAGTGAGTTCCTAATTACCTCTTCCTTCTGAAAGTAAAAGCTTCTCCATTGAGAGTAAAATAATTCTCCTTATAGCTCTCTTAAAGAGGACAACCCCTTATTTTCAAACAGTCACCCCCTGTTCTAGATTCTCCTACAAGAGGAAATATCTTTTTCACATCTACTGTCAGGTCCCTCAGGATCTTATATGTTTCAATCAATAGGGAGTTCAGACATAAATTTGAAAGAAGAACCTCAAAGGTAGTAATCTCAGGATTACTGCTAGTGCTATATACTAGCAAGGGCAAAAATAACAGGATAAAGCAGATGAGTATATGGAGAAATGATGTAAGAGAGAGGGATTCGGAGAGGGTTCTTCAGACATTGGGACCGTTTCAAGGGAATGTGGGATTGATACAAAGGTTGCATTGGGACGGGACCAGGACTGATGTCCTCGGGGGAGTTTGCCACTGGGGAAGCTTTAAACCAGAATGGCAGATGGATAGGGACCTGAGTAGGGAGATGGAGACAGAAGAAACAGGATAGAAACAGAAGACAGAAAGGTAAAAAGCAAAAGGCAGAAAAAAAGGACGAGAAATAAATGGGGCAATACTGCACATTAAAGCGAAGATTGAATCGAGTCCCTACAGAGTAGAAATGGACCAACTAGCCTCAAGTCTGCACCGACCCTCTGAAGAGCATCCCATCCTGACCCAGGCCCCGCCCCCCCAATCTCTATAACTCTGCATTTCCATTGACTAATCCACCCAGCTTGAACATCCCTGGACACTCTGGGGCAATTGAGCATGGCCAGTCCACTTAGCTCGCACTTCTTTGGACTGTGGGAGGAAACCAAAGCATTCAGTGGATACCCATGCAGATGCGGGGAGAATGTGCAAATTCCACAGAGGCAGTCACCCAAGGGTGGAATAGAATGCAGATCCCTGGCTCTGTGAGGCAGCAGTGCTAACCACTGAGCCACCATGCTGCCCAAAGATGGCTAACAAGTTTCAAAAGACAAGTCTGAAGGCTTTGTTTCTTAATACATGAAGCATTAAATTTACTAAAAATGCTACCCCACCTCCTTTCCATTTCTTTGTCTTAATGAAGGATATTGACTTGAAAAGTTATGATGCGGAATCCATATGTGTAGAAACTAGAAATGAGAAACGCCAGGGCAGCAAATGTTGTTGGGCTTGGCTTTTATTGACTTCTGGGACGTGGGCATCACTGGCTGACCAGAATTTGTTGCTCTGCCCTAGCTACCCTTGACAATGTAGTGGTTAGTTGCTTTCTTGAATTGTTGCAGTTGTGTGCTGTAAGTAGACTCACAATACACAGTGTGAGGGAATTCCAGGATTTTGATCCAGTGACAGTGAAGGAACGGTGACATATTTTCGAGTCAGGATGTGAGTGGCTTGGAGGGGAAGTTGCAGGGCATAGTGTTCCTATGTATCTGCTCCTCTTGTCCTTCTCGATGGAAGTTGCCATGCGTTTGGAAGGTGCTATCTAAAAATCTTTAGCAAATTTCTGTAGTGCATCTTGTAGGTAGTACACTCTGTTGTGACTGAGCATTGGTGATAAGGAAAGTGGGTGCTTGTGGATGGTATGCCAATCAAGGGGGCTGCTTTGTTCTGGATAGTGTCAAGCACCTTGAGTGTTGTTGGAATAAAATTGAATAACCTCTTATACCTGCCCTCATCCAGGTAAGTGGGGAGTATTCCATCACACTCCTAGAATAATGATCCCAAAACAGTAGTGGAGATATAAGACAAAGTATTGCACAAAATAAAATCAGTTGCATGCAATAAGGGTACAGCTGTAATCATGGGTGACTTTAATTTACATGTAGATTGGAGAAACCACATTGGCAATGGTATTGTGGATGAGCATTTCCTGGAATGAATGCATGATGGCTTTTTAGACCAACATGTTGGAGAACCAAGCAGAGAACGAGTTACTGTGCTATGCAGTGAGCATGGATGAATTAACAATCTTGTAGTGTACGGTCCCTTGGGGAAGATTAACCATAATATGCTAGAATTCTTCATTAAGATAGAGAGTGAGGTAGTCAAATCCAAAACTAGGAGAGCTGTATCTAAGTAAAGAGAACTATAAAGATATTTGGCATGAATTGGCTAGGATTGTCTGGGGGAACCGTCTAAAGGGGTTGACAGTAGATAGGCAATGGTTCATATTTAAAGAACATGTGCATGAATTGTAACAATTATTCATTCCTTTCTGGTGCAAACATAAAAGGAAAGTCTAACCATGACTTACAAAAGGAATTTAGGACAGTATTAGTTTCAAAAAGGAGACCATACTAATAAGGTGTAGGAATAGAATTAGACCATTCAGTGCATCTAGTCTGCTCCACCATTCAATTAGGTCATGGCTGATCTGATCATCTTCAATTTCACTTTCCTGTCTTTTACCCACAGCCCTTGATTCCCTTACTGACTTTTTAAAAAAAAATTGATCTCCCAAAGAACATACATAATTTTGTAGTAGTGGGGTTTGAATCTATGCCTCTGCAGAGTCTCAACATATAAAATTACTAGAAAAAGCAGCAAGCCTGAGGATTAGGCTCATTCTAGAATTCAGGAAAAGAGTTCAAAAGATATTTGATCAAGAAGGGGAAATAGAATGTGAGAATAAAATTGCAGGAAACATAGAAACTGATTGTAAAAGCTGCTACAAATCAGTGAGGAGAAAAAGATTAGGTCTATCGCAGTCAGGTTCCAAGGAAATTCTAATGGGGAACAAAGAAATGGCAGACGAATTTAATGCATGCTTTGGTTCTGTCTTCACAAAAGAGGGCACAAACTGTCTCAAAAATCTTAGGGATCCACATGTATAGTGAAAGTGTAGAATTGAAGGAAATCAGTATTGGTAAGAAAGTAGTGCTGGGGAAATTTTTGGGATTAAAGGCTGATAAATCGGCAGGGCCTGGCAATCTACATCCCAGAATACTGAAGGAAGTGGCCCTGAAAATATTGAATACACTGGTGGTCATCTTCCAAAATTCTATACTTCTTACTCCAGTTCCTACAGATTGCAGGATGGCAAATGTCACCCCACTGTTTAAAAATGGAGGGGGCAAAAAAGAACAGAGAATTACAGACCAATTAGCTGACCATCAGTTGTGAAATAAATGCTGGTAGAAGACGTGATAGCAGAACATTTGGAAAGCACTAACTGGATTGGACAAAACCAGTATGGATGTATGAAAAGCAAATCATACTTATCAAATCTATTGGAGTTTTATATTGACGTAACTAGTAGAATAGATAAGGGAGAACCAGTGAGTGTTATGTATTTGGATTTTCAGACGGCTTTCGATATGGTACCTTATAGATTAATTGGCAAAATTAAGGTACATGGGATGGGGGTAATATAGCGGCATGGATTGAAATTTGGTTGAGAAATAGGAAAAAAGAGCGTGGGAATAAGTGGATCTTTTTCTAAGTAGCAGGCAGTGACTGGTGGGGTACCACAACCAGTGCTTGGGCTGCAGATAATGTTTATAAATGACCTGGAGAAGGGAACAAAATGCAATATCTCCAATTTTGCTGACCAGACTGGGCAGGATTGTGAGTTGTGAGGTTGAAGCGAGGAGGCTTCAAGGTGATTTAGATGAGTTGAGTGAGTAAGCAAACACACGGTATATGCAGTACAACTTAGCTAAATGTGAAGTTATACATTTTGATGTGAAAAGGCAGAATATTATTTGAATAGTGATATATTGGGAAGTGTAGATGTGCAAAGGGATCTGGGTGTCCTTGTACACCAGTCAATGAAAGTATACAGACAGGTGCGCAAGCAATTAGGAAGATAAATGGTATATTGGCCTTCATTGCATGAGGATTTGAATTTAGAAATTGGGATGTCTTATTCAATTATACAGGGCCTTCGTGAGACTAAACCTGGAGTATTGAATGCAGATTTGGACTCCCAACCTAAGAAGGGATACACTTGCTGGAGAGGGAGGGCATTGGAGGTTCCTTAGGTTGGTACCAGGGAATGCTGGTATAGTCATGAACACATCTGTAAAGGTTAAAAAAAAACATAAAATCAACACGTTATACATACTCAAAATGGTCTTTTTTTTTAATTGGTATCTGAAAAGTATCCATTTAGGGAAAATACAGAAGAAACAGAGAAGAATTTACTGAGGATCATTTTCAGACCTGGGTGACTATAATTCAAAATCCACCAGCACCCATTCCCCTGAGGCAGGCAGCATGCAAACTTGTTGCAGCATGTATCACAGGTTAATTTTGTTTATTTTGATCTTTATAGATGCGTTCATGACTGTATCAGC